GGAATGAAGAAAGACCCCTGGCAACTAATTTTAAGGAATATTGTTGGCATATTTTCTTATCACATTTTTAGGTATATGTGAAATGCCAGAGAGGTGTACTAATACCTTTTACCACATGTTCTATTACCTATAGGAATCCAAATTAGAACATTACACCAGTAAATGCATTGAAGCTCTAATTTTCCTTGCTGACCAAAAATCCTGTTTGTGGATCATCCAAATGTCTGAAGCAGAAAAATGCCTTTCTGAATCATTGAATCAATCATCTCCTACTATGTGGCTTCCCAGGCCTTCAGTTCTTCTACATTGATCAGATGATTCTATTACACACATCATCAGTTGAATGCCCCATATATATGATACATGCATATACATCCCATGTATAGAAATATATGATATATAAGCATGAGAAGAACAGTTGGATAAAATAACACAGGAGATGAAGATAAGTGTTATTATCGTAGAAGTCTGTAGAGACTACCTAGCCAGATGAAAAATACAAATTGTAGCTTGTAATGTTAATCATAAAACTCTGTCTGAGACCATCTATTGCAGCAATCGGAATTTTAACATAAAAAGTCATTATGTCCAAAAATAAAGAAAAGACTTTGGGATAATCTTGACTTTTCTTTGAATGTAAGTTTAATAAAAGGGTTACTGCTTTCCTTGATCGAATTCTTGGCTGTAGTCAGCAAAGTAGAAAAGACAATGACCTCAGGAGAAAATGACCATGATACCTTTTCCTACTTTAAACAAGGAGGGAGTTGTTAACACAGAGGTATAATGGTATTGACAGTGAATAAAATGGAACCTAGTTCAAGAAGTGCAGGAAGCTCCAAAATGAAATTCAAATTACATGTTACGATTAATCACAATGAAAAACAGAAAGGTATTTTAAAGATCTAAGGCTGTTTAGGGCATTATACAGTCCAATTTTCAAAAAGCCATACATCCAGAAACTCTATGCTGGTGAACCTGATGTCAACGTCTACAAGAATTGTAGAGGGAATCTGTATTAAGTTCATGAGAAGAAATGATTACGTGAGTCCATTTAGAGTTTCAGATTACCACAAATGAACATCAATTAAAAAAAAAAGACTATTAGACTCATAGATCAGGGAAATAGTTTAGATATCATAATCTGCATTTTGATGTTAGCAAAGCATATTATTAAATCCTTGCTAAGAAAGTAGAGAAATATAAACTAATTAATGGGTCCATTTGGGGGACCAAACACTTAAAAAAAGTACTGCTTCCAGCTTAGAGAGAAGTGTCTAGTATCCTACTGATGTGGAAAGTACTTGCCCTGTTCAGTGATAGATGGGAGATATAAAACATATACGTACTAGATTTGCAAATGACACAAAGCTGAGAATGATTAACAGGCCACCTGAGAGATTCATAATTCAAAACTATCAGCATAGATTAATGAATTGAGATCAAAAAGGATCACATAAATAATTACAAGTGGGAGAGACGAACCTTAGTCATAATCCATGTAGGTATGCCATGTAAGCCAACAATGGGACATGACTGCTAAAATTCTAATGGAAATTTAGGCTGTACGGATAAAAGTATCTTGCCAAATATTATAAAAAGGACTTAATGGGTGGCTCCTGTGGCTCCAAGAGTAGGGCACCGGCCCCATATACCGGGGGTGGCAGGTTCAAGCCTGACCCTGGCCAAAACTGCAAAAAAAAAAAAAAAAAAAAGGACTTAATAGGCTGGGTGCAGTGGCTCACATCTGTAATCCTAGCATTCTGGGAAGCAAAGGCAGGTGGACTGCTTAAGCTTAGGAGTTTGAGACCAGCCTGAGGAAGAGTGAGAGTCCGTCTCTATTAAAAATAGAAAAAACTAGCCAGGCCGGTGGTACATGCCTGTAGTCCCAGCTGTTTGGGAAGCTGAGGCAAGAGGATCACTTGAATTCAGGAGTTTGAGGTTGTTGTGAACTCTGATGCCATGGCACTCTACCCAGGGCACAGAGTGAGACTCTGTCTAAAAAAAAAAAAAAGACAGGCTTGGCGCCTGTAGTTCAGCGGCTAGGGTGCTGGCCACATACACCAGGGCTGGCAGGTTCAAACCCAGCCCTGGCCTACCAGACAACAATGACAACTACAAAAACAACAACAACAAAATAGCTGGGCATTGTGGTGGGCATCTGTAGTCCCAGCTACTTGGTGGGGAGGCTCAGGCAAGAGAATCACTTAAGTCCAAGAGTTTGAGGTTGCTATGAGCTGTGATGCCACCGCACTCTACACAGGGTGACACAGGGAGACTCTGTCTCAAAAAAAAAAAAGGACATAATAATTTTATGGGCTGTTCAGACCATATCCGAAATTCTGCTTTTCAAAAAAAGGAAAGAAGAATTTAACAGTGTGAAATTTCACACTGTTATATATTACAGCCAATGGAAAGGTGATAGATTTAATGAAGATCTTGGAAACCATCTCATGCATCACAGTAACTCAAATTTTGAAAAGTGAATCATGGCTTTCAACACCTTTACACCTTAAGTATCAGCTCATAATTCATCTATAGGAAAGAGCCCTTCTCCAGACTTTGGTCCCATACATCCATCTTCTAAAACCGTTATCTGCAACTCTCATTAAGATTTTCAATAATATATTACTTTGTGGTTAATCAACGTTTTAATGTTCATATTTAAGTTCCCCACGAAGACTGTAGACTGAGTTGTGGGAGACCACAGCGCTGTCAACTGTCAGCACCTTGCTAGTGCCGCAAAGCAATCTTCTTAGAATGGGTTTATAACTTAGTTGTGCAAATAGGACTTATAACTTTAATACATTTCTTTCCTATGATTAGTCCTTACTACTAGTGAGGAGTCTGAGTAAGGGCAAATTCATGCTAGTGTGGTGAGAGAGAACTGATTAAATGTTTTACTATACTTTTTAATAAATTAGCAGTTTGTATGCATGCTATCTTGTCAAAACTCCTCATGGTTGTTGCTGACAGCATAAATTGACTACACCTTAGTGGGACAGGTTCTTATAGTATCTCATTTAGATGCCTTCTATCCATTGTCACTCTAAGTCCTTTTTCTACTTATTCCTTCACAGTAAAACCTAAAAGTTTGTGCTATCACGCCAACATCCCCTATATCTGATACAGTAGGGCAATATTATACACATGATAAGGTAATAATGCTTGCCAAATGAATGGATTGTTCCTATAAAATTGGGGGGGGGGGATTTGCCTAAATTCAGATAAGTTTTTCATTTCCCAATGAACGGAATACTTTTTAATAAAATATCTTAACATTCAAATTCATTATTCTACAGAAAATATAATCTACCAATGTGTTACAGAGAAGAGGAACTTTATCTTATATAGTACACAGGAATTTAGTACCAAAAGTTTGTTCAGCACCAATTTGAACACTCCTCATAAACTTGGCAATTGTATCATAACTTACTGTATGTTCTTCTTTCCAATCTCTACTAGATGTTGAGAAGCTAATTAATGGAAATTCAATATAGTTAGTACTCTCTTTAAAACCAGGCATACAGGCTCGGCGCCTATAGCTCAACCGGCTAAGGCGCC